GCGTAGATGAATCATCCTGGTCAGAAGCTGAAGGGCCCTCTCGTCCTGGTCCCCGGTAACTAGCAACTGCAATTCTGGCGATACAGGGGCCGGGACGCCCTGGTCAATCCGGAGGCCCTCCGGGGGATACATCATGCACCGTTCCCATCCCTGATGCGGCAGGCCTTCGGACCTGGGCATCTGACACAGGATCGACGCAGAGATATGTCGCTAGCGCAAAAAGACCCCTTGCCGGCACGGAGAGTCCAATGCCTAAATGGCGCCGAGACACCAATTAGGCTTATCGCCCCCCGCCTCCTGGCTGAAACGGTGCGGGGGCCTTCGTTCGAACCTGCGGCCTCTGGCTGGCATAGGTCACTGTCTCATTGTGAGTAGAAATCGTTGCAGCATCATTTCGCATGTCTCCTGTCATTGTCGAGACGATCCTGACCAACGCAGTAAGTCTTTTAACATTCGAGATCTCGCTCCTGTCCCTGTTCACCAAACGCGCCAATGGCCGACTTTGGCCTATTGCTAGCACGGGCCCCTTATTGGGCCCCTTATTGGGCCCCTTACCTATTTGTGAGACCCTGATCAGCACAGGGACCAGACAAGCGCACGATCTCTCTGATCAACATTTGCAGACCCAGTCCTGCCCCGCTTTGGAAAGAGGCCCCAAGGCCAAGATTGATGCGGCACGGAGTGTTCGGTATTGCCTACTCGCTGAGGTCCCTTCAATTCCCCGCCCTGCTCTTTGGACCCTCCGATCAGACCCCTGATCGTCGCTCCCTCGGGCCCAAAGGGCTACTCGGAGCCTCTGGACTTAGAGACATAAGACAGGTCACGTGTCACTGTCCCACCGATAGTGACGCTTTCGGCTCCTCGGGAAAAAATGGGTCAAGTTGTATGCCCTCCGAAGTTTGACGCCACTTGAAATTAAAAGAATATTGGATAACGGCCTACTCAATTTTGCATAGGTGCATGCTCAGCAACATGTGTAATGTGCATGGCTGTGAATGGGGCATGAGACTGATCATACCTAGATTTTGAACTTGTGCTCTTTCATCTTATGACGATGTTCACTTTCCTGCAACTGGTACCAGGGGCGGGTCCAGGATTTCGTCAAAGGGGGGGGGGGGGGGTACGCAGCATTTTAGGCCGCCTTAAAGTTCAGAGCTCACCCTGCCAAAAAAAAGAGTCGCATTCCACCCATTATATTTTAAGCCTATCAGTATGCTATTCTTACGCGATAAAAATAGCATAGTGATGGCCCATCCGTATGCTATGGCCACTGATGGGCTATCAGTAGCCATATGCTGGTACAGGAGCCCATCTTGCTGTGCGCAGTTCTAGAAAGATAGGCGTGCTCCGTGCGCGCATGCACGGAACTTATTCGTTTTCTCCAGAGCATGGTCAATACCGCCATTTCGAAGCTCAGTTTTGGAAAAGGTGGCAAAATAGACCTAAAGCGCCACTGAATATTATTTAAACCCAGCACGAACTTGATTCCTAACTTTTATGCAGCTAGCTGGAAGAGTATAGGGCCAACCATTCAAATAAGAAGTACCCAAGACACAATATGGAGTGCCCAGGAATGATCGGGTGTGCTCGAGCAGGTTAACAGATGGGGCCCCCGACAAGAGCGTAGGGCCCTCTAATGAAATAATGAATACCCATGACACAATGGGGAAGCCCCCCCCCCCCCCAAACGATCGAGTGCGTCCGAGTAGGTTAACAGCTAGGGCCCGACAAGAGCGTGGGGTTCCATTCAAATAGACAGCACCCAAGACCCAATGTAGAGAGCCCCCAATAATCGAGTGTGTATGAGCAGGTAATGAGAAAATGTCCGGACAAGGGCGTAGAGCCCTCTATCCAAGTAAGAAGTACCCAGGTCCCAGTGTGGATAGCCCCCGAAAGATCAAGCGTGCCCGCGCGTGCTGTCAGATGGCCCTCGACGGGAGCGTAGGGCCTTACATTTCAAAACCAAGATTCAATGTGCAGGGCCCCCGAGAAACCCACTGTCCTCGAGGAAGTGAGCAGATGAGGCCCTGACGAGTGTGTAGGGCTGTTCATTAAAATAGGAACTACCCAAGACACAATGTGGAGGGGCCCCGAGCGATCGAGTATGCCCGGGCAGGTTAAAATGTGGGGTCTCCGACAGAAGCGTAGAGCCCTCCATTCAAGCAATATTTATTCACAGCACAATGTAGAGGGACCCCGAACGATCGAGTGGCCCCAGCGGGTTAATAGATGAGGCCCTCACAAAAGCGTAGGGTCCTCCATTTAAATAGAAAGTACCCAAGATCCAATGTAGAGACCCCCCCCCCCGTCCGAAAGATCGAATGTACCCGAGCAGGTTATCAGATAGGCCACCAAGACGAGCGTGATGCCCTCCATTCAAATAAGACGCATCCAAAACTCAGTGCGGAGGGCCCCTTAAAGATCAAATGTGCTCAAGCAAGCTATCGGATGACCCCCCGACAGGAACGTAGGGCCGTACACTCAAATACCAACCCCAATGCGCAGGGCCCCCTGAACAACCCGGTGTACTTAAGCCGGTAACAGATGGGCCTCTAATGAGTAGTAGTAGAGTAGTAGTAAAGAGCGTAGCGCCCTAAGCAACAGACAGAGAATTGGAGGGGCCCTAGACCAATGTAGACGGCCCATGGGCATATCGTAAATGTGTCGGTAGGTTAACCAAGGCCAACGTGAAAAGCCCCAGCGAAAATACCGAAAATAACCGAAATAACCGAAAATATGGCGGCATGGCATCGCGTATGGTTATATGCGTATAGCGTATAGGGCCTTTCGGGTAAATGGAAAGAGTCAGTGGAACGTCCCTGATTGATGAGAGTACCACGGTACGCTGGCAGGAAGGGCCCAGCCCCCGGCCCAGCAGCGGCACAGAGCCCTCAGAGCGAATGCAGATAAATCAGGGGCAATGTAGAGGGCTCCTTAACGACCGGATTGACCCTGCAAGTAGACATACAGGGCCCCGGAAACAGCGTAGGATCTCTGGACTGCAAAATGGGCCTTCAAACTTTCAAATCGCCACTCACTCAGTCAAGAATAATTTTTGTTTATTTGTAGGCCCTTCTCTTTCGCTTGCGATTGTTCTTGGTCGCCTGGAAGCCAAAAAACGTCCAATTTTGTTCCGTTTTGTGCAAAAATGCGTCTGTTCGGCCGGCTACGGTGCCCCTTTGGAGCCTAAGGGCTCCTTCCGCCCCAAAAGAGAATGCATGGCTCTGTGCCCCCCTCCCTTGATCTGTCCCTGTTTCGCACCTAAGAAATGAATCCGAGTATCAGGCATCAGTATGGGGGCAAGATCACTGTGAACTTAATTTATGCTATCTTTAAAAGACACTAGAAATTGGCCAGATTTGACAATCTTCTGTCGGCACAGCACCTGAGCAAAATTGTATTTAAAGATTCGCATATGTAACTTTTGAGCGAAAGCTCAGCATATCAAGGTGAGGTGCTTGATGTCCAGCGGTATTTGCAATTATAGATAACTCTCGCCTAACAAGCATGCTATCAATGAAGCAGGAAAGCACTGTTTTTGGAGCCCGATTCAGGCTGACTGATACGTTCTATTGACATGACATGACATGATGCTTTCGATTGACATGACATGACATGATGCTTTCGATTGACATGACATGACATGATGCGTTTTATTGACATGACATGACATGATGCGTTTTATTGACATGACATGACATGATGCATTCTATTGGCATGACATGACATGATGCGTTCTATTGGCATGACATGACATGATGCGTTCTATTGGCATGACATGACATGATGCATGACATGACACGATGCATGACATGACATGATGCGTTCTATTGACATGACATGACACGATGCATGACATGACATGATGCGTTCTATTGACATGACATGGCATGATGCGTTTTATTGACATGACATGACATGATACGTTTTATTGACTAACTCGCCATGTTTGGCAAATTAGGAAAAGCTGCTATCAGAAACCTAGAGCCGTTTTAAGCCACAGTGCTTTCTAATGTATGTTTGATATATTCTAGTGTGCATATTTGGATATGCCCTTGAAACAACGTTCACATAAGTGAGCTGAGAATGCTTATTTCAGGGGTGTTTTTATCATTAGACCTTGGGAAACTTGGGGCGCTTTTTAGCTTTAATAATAATAATTAGCACGCTCGGAGCTATCATATTCTTGCACATGGCCCGCATGGCACACAGGGACAGAATCGCCGCCCTCTGGGCTGAAGTAATCCTTCCACCAGCCTGCTCACCTCATGTTGATGGTTTCGCTCAAATTGGCAAATGTTGATGTCACGCTTCCTAGGAAACTAAAAAGGGTTATCACGCGCCCAGTTGGCTGGTTAAATACCCTTCGCGCAGGTGGAGGGGGGGGGGGGGGTCATCAGTTTGACAATTTGACAATTTGACAACAACAAACAAATTTGACAATTTGACAATTTGTCAATTTGACCATTCAAGACCTCAAAACCAAGAGAGCTAGAGACATAAAATTCACAGAGTATGTGGTCTGTATGTGAACTCAGTCGTGCTAAAATTGGAGTTCCTTGGTCATAAACTTCGGGGCAGATAAGGTCAAACAAGGTCAAACTTCAGATCGGTGTCCAAACTGCCACCAGACCTTCTCATGCAATCGTCGTAAGCCTAAGGAAAAATTCACTGGTGCTCATTTGAGGTCATTCACTTTGTTTGACCTCCAAAAGGTCATGGCGACCAAAACTCATAAAAAAACGGTTGCTAGGGAAACACCTACGCCAATGGCAATACGCTGTTATTTGCATGGTTTTAGGGTAATCTACGCCAACCCAACTAATACAAGTGTATTTTTACATACCACAATCGCGAACGTGACCACAAATTTGTTTTCTATGCTAACTTGTGCTTTTACCGTGATTCAAAGGTTGGTAGAATGAGCGTAAGTTACAAATGCGTTATTTAAGAGACCTTTTGATTGAATATTTTCACACAAGGACGCGTCAGTTGGTAACATCGACGTGCGTGACATCATCATCGTCCATGCCGGTCGAAGTAGATCGCTTATCTTTTCTGAGACGTCGGCCTCATCAGAACATCATGAACCTGAAAGCATAAAAGAGCATCTCAGTACCGTCAATGTTGGCCTTTTACACGGGCACGTCCTTCAAATCGAATATGAAATGAAGTGATGCACAGTCGCCGCCTAAATGTTGTGCGCCCATCCGATTTAAACGGGCGACACCAGATTCCTTGAGACATTCTACTGCTGCACTCATCCGATTTAAACGGGCGACACCAGATTCCTTGAGACATTTTACTATTGCACTCATCCTTGCTTTAAAGCAGCGACTTTTGCAGTTTGCTGGAAAACTTGAATGTTTGCTAGCTCACTATAATCATGCCCTTCAACAGCTTTTACACTATGCCTTTACATATCCGCAAGACTGAGTTCAATCAAACACCAATGCGTGAATCGCACAATTATGATATATGGTAGAACAACCTCGACCAGTAATATTTCGTTCTGATTCACCGATTTGAAGCCAAACTACTACTTCTGTACCGCTGTCATCGTAGCACTGAAGTAGTAGGCTAAAAGAGATTTGTCATGACTGAAATTAATCTGGATCGCGCATTTTCATCAGGACAATCAATGAATCTTTCAACATAGGCTACGGCTTAAGGCCGTGGCATCATTCCAACGGAATTTCCCAGACTCAAACTCAGACCCAAACACGTGTCGGGACCATCTACAATGTACACATGGCTTTGACAGCTCTGCGTTCAGGAAATGAAATGAGTCTCCATTTAGTTTTGCATATTAACGTCATTTAGAGTCCTATAGACCCGTCATGTACTCAGATGTCAATACCTGCACATCAGGCGGAAGGGACATGACAAAGGTGACTGTTTTGGCGATGGCGCTGGCGTCCATGCCGCCGGCCATGATGACGTCACCGCGGGCCATGTCGTTAAGCATGCGGCCGACGATCTCGGTCTTCACGAGGCCGGGCGATAGTTGCTGGAAGAAGCACGCGCCGCGGCGTTACTGCGCTGAAAGCGTCTCGATGCTGCAAATGCGATCCAAGGAAGCATGCATATGAAGAGATGCAATCACGTTTATTCGTGCTGTTAAGGACCGCAGCGCGGATAGCTGTGCGAAGCAGGACGTGCGAACGAAAAAGTGCACAATACGAGGCAATGCGTTACGAGGAAATGAGATACGAAAACTGTGTGCACGATTAAACACGATTAACAAATTTGCATTGGCATAAGGCAGGAGCAATAGCCTCATTCCTATTAGAGAAAAAAAAACAGGAGAATGGAGATATAGATGCTTTGATATTTCGGCAAAATGCTTTCTTCTGATATTTCTCCCTACTTCTGCCTACTATGCCTGCGTACGCTATTGTTTTCTTAAAAGGCATGCTGCCGAAATATCAAAGCATCTATATCTCTATTCTCCTGTTTCTCCCTCAGGAATGAGGCTATTGCTACTGTCTTATCTAGGTGAATTACGTTTCCCACAAATGCACTTAACAACTTACGTCCTTTGTGTATACGATTTTTGTAACAAATGTTAAGGCGATAAACAGGAGATCAAAGCTACAGTTTTCTTTTGTGCATACGAATATTTACGTATGACGATGTGCGATATGAAAATTTGCATGGCATTCATTGGCGTAGAGTAACTAACGGTAATAAAAAGGCTATCAAGCCTGCCGGGGAAAAAGTGTTATGAGCAAATGCAGTGCAAACTATTCCTGGTCGAGCCTTAGAAAAAAGGAAGTTCCCATGAAGAGTGCGGCCGAGCTGTTTCCGTGTGTGCTGTCATGCCTGGCGGCTCGCCTCATCACTCGTGGAAATACAACTGCAGATCTAAACTTATGGTAGTTTTCCCCTAAGAACATGCCTGATGTTATTAGGGAGCGTTTCAAAGCGCACCCTTGCAATGCGTAAACTTTCGTGATCTTTTCAAACGTGCAGCGTGACAGATGGACAGGGCTTTGAAAAGGACTAACCTTTTGGTTTATATGGCTTTTCATTTCGTTTGCATGGCTTAGAATATCTAACCCTCGCCTTCGCCTTCTCCTCCTTGGACCTTTGTGAAGGACCTTAGAAGCGCCTCCAGGATCTAGAAAGATTTTAGATCTAGAAGCTAATCTTTTTACAGATTTGATCCGAACCCTTTGAATGGATGGGTTTCTGGGATCAGAGCTCGGACGGACCGAGACGGACCAGACAATCATGCTGGAACCATGCAGAAAACGCTACTGCAAAGCTGACTACAAGCTGCACCAGATGGATGTGCTTGATCGATGGAGATCTTTACGTCAAACCAGGCCGCATGGATTAACGCTCTAGAGAGCCTCCCTGCCATTTCAATAACTAAGCTTGCTACGACAAAGAGGAAGGCTGAGTTAAACGTACTTGGGAGAACTCTGTCAGACAGACAATAGTGTGTACCAATGCAGGTGACCTTTAATTTGTCATCTCAGATCAGATGGATGATAACGAACGTTGCAATGATCCGTCAGGCTATACCAACAACCAAATAAACAATATCAATCGATAGAATAAGGATGGAAAGACCTTTTAGATCGTAACATAGGTGTCATCAAGGCATAAATCGCGCAACTTTCAGTTTCAGTCTGTAAGTTGCTATGTGCATTTGTGCGGAGCATTATGCACATGGATAAGACAGGAGTAATAGCCTTATTCCTCGGGAGAAAGCTAAGAGAACAGGAATATAGATGCGTTGATATTTCGGCAGCATGTCAAATGACCTCAAATGACCTGACGTTGGAAAAGCAAATCACATGTGGAAGGCTTTTCTTGCGAAGAAGTAGGTTTTTGTCGTTTTTTAGCAAAATGTCATTGACATAACCCCAGGAAAAAGGTCTTAAACCATGAGCCGTGAAATTCAGAAACTTTAACTTGTATAAGATGTGTAAGATGAGTTTGAACTCAGGTTCTTAATATCAGTATCGTACCGACACCGTTCAGCAGTCATTCCGGAAAACCCCAGTAGGAGGACTTTAATGTTTCCCTGGAATAACACTTTAAAGCATGCAAATAATTAGAAATGAGCTGATTTTATCATATCTGATGTTTCCTTCATATCCTCAATCGTGGAGCATTCCATTTTAACAGACAACGAAACCTTCAAGCAAGCTTTTAAAGCACATTATTCTAATGGAAAATGAGCAACCGTCCACAATTCCAATACGGTATTTGTATGACCACTGAATGGTATCAGAACGTGTTCGCGCCCAGATAGAACTACACGGACAAAATGATGACCGATGTTTCCCCACACTGACAGAATGCTTGGGAAAGTGTTCGAATTACTGACACCGGAGCTTGACTGTGCCGAAGACTGCATTCGTCTCAAAATGGAATAATTGTTTCGACTGGCGTCCTCGTCTGGTGCACGTAGACAATTTTTCTAACCGTTATCTATCTAGCCGTCGTTATGTATTTTTTAATCCTGATGATGATTGCATGGCTTCTGACTTTTACCCATGCACGCCCCATCCGAATTCTCTCCTTTCAATTGCTAGGATTGAAATCAGTGTCTGCTGATTCTGAGTCCAGTGTACTACCAACTGAGCTAACCGCGAAGGACGACAGTCCGAATTTTTCAATTTCGGATACGAATACCTTGTCCCAATCCTGCCGTAAACCTGTTAGTCTAGTCCTGTGTTCGAGCTTATGTTATACATAAAGTTGTGTTACAAAATATGGTCACATACTGCACGAGAGAATGTCCTTAATTCATCTTACTTTCTAGCATTGGACGGAATCCTAAGCCCTGGTAGGAATGGCGACCTACTCTGCTGGATTGACGCGGGATGCGTCACTGGTGCAGGCCTCAAGTTCTAATTCTAATTTATAGTTTTAATTATAAGTTATAATGTGCTTGGAAGGCCTAGAGCCTTGTTTAGCAGTTCTAAAACACTTGCAAGTCGCGTTAGCACCGATATCTTTTTAGACCTTAGGATGGTTTAATGTGTCCTTGAATTCGGGTTCCGAGGTTCAAGGTCGACTCCCGCACAAAATCGCGACTTACCGCAACTCTGATTTTGTTCGTCTCATCGGCCGCCAGCTCCTGGCGGAGCCCCTCGGTCAGGGCCGTCACCGCGAACTTGGTCGCCGTGTAGAAATGGCTGTTTGGATATGGGCCCACCATATGTCCGGCCTGGCTGCAGATGTTGATCACCTGTCCCTCGGTGACGTCACGATCCTTCATGCCCTTAATAGCCAGCTGAGCACAGTGTGCCAGCGCCAAGACGTTGACGTCCAGTATAGTGCGCCACTTGTCGATGGCGCCATCAAGGAGGCCCCCGGTAAAATTGAGGCCGGCGTTGTTAATGCAGACGTCAACGCCGCCGAACTGTTTGGTGATAGCACAGAACATGGCCTCAATCTCGTCCGACTTGGTCAGGTCACAGTGCATCGCTGTCAGGGAACCGGAGGAACCTTTCAGTTCAGCAGCCAGCTCCTGAAAATGTCCGATTAAAATGATAACACCAATGATGAGACAGTCCTGCTTTTACTAAAAATCACACAATTTTCAAGCCTCATCACGTTGTCCAAAATGTTCAGCATTTAAAAATACCTTTGAAAATCAGCGTTAGATCACGCAGAGCTTCAGAACGACGGAATAAACCTGTCTGCGTGGGCTTTGGTCTACTCACGACGCCTCAACCCTTTGACTGAAGATAAGTCGTAGTGTGTTTTCATGCTGCTGATATAAGCTCTTCATTGAGTGCATGTTACGTCGCAACATTTTCTGGATAATTTTTCAGAATAAGTCGTTAGCAGAAAAGGTACAAAAAGTAGAGTTTCACTCGATGGTCCATTCTAAGCTATGTGTAGTGTTTCCAGGTATGACCTACCTCGATTCGTTTGTGATTCCTGGCGCATCCAACCACCGTCATTCCGTGATGCACAAGCTCTCGACAGATGGCAGCACCGATGCCGGCGCTGGCACCAGTTACCAGCGCGACTTTGCCTCTCCAGCGGTCCATAGCAGGTAAGCGTTAGCTCAGATTGCAGGCTTGATCACCTGTTCATGCCATGCAGGATTAGAACGTCGCCAGCCCGAGTTGAGCGAGGCTTGACGGTCAATATGCATTATAACCGAGCTGTCAGCTATTACGGCCTTGTGTCAGCTTAATGGTGTCGTTAATTTTCAGCGTATTGGTCACTCGCCGAAATGAAATATCGACATTGCCTCCATACCAAAGGCTTTGCTGACAAGTTTAGGTGACTTACCAGAATTGTCAACTGGTATCTGGATATCTGAGAATGGCAAAAAACTAGGCTAACATATATTTTCACATCAAGGATTTCCCCTGCGACGCGGCAACGGCCACTTGACGATGGCTGTACATGACACAAAATAGGAGTTACGCTGCATTCATGGCACACACCAGACACATCCCTCACAAAATCTGCCACGCTCACCAACGAGTCTGTCTTCCAGATCACTGCACACACACACACACAGGTCCTCACCTCGCTCGTGATCTGCTGTGCGCTGTTGGCGCTCGGGTCTGCTGTCGTGGAGGTGGCACCGGCGAGTGGAGCGCGTGCTGGGCGTCTGACCCGCGCCGCCCGGCAGAGCGGATCGAGCGCGTGATAGGACAGTGCTGGCGAGCAAACCGCGTCGCAATCGTGTCGCTCAAGTCCATAGATATGGCAGGCTAGGCGGAGGTCCCGTGAGATGCCGTCGGATAGAGAGTGACCTCCGCCCCCGCGATAGAGTGCCCGCCGGGCCCGCGCCAATAGCCTCACAGACGAAGCCAGCGTAGGATGGCATGCGACTTTATGGGAATTGTTGACAGCGGATCAAGGAGCAGCGGGAGAACAGGGTTAGTCATTCAGACGTGCAAACAACCTAACTTAAGTATGCTACAGAAGCTCAATAGCTTTGCCTTCGTTACGTGGTTTTACCCGGTCCTTGGACAAAACGTAAAAGCACATTTGGCGAATATCTTTTCGTCATCTGCCAAATGAGGAATCGCAAAATTGCGACACGTCGGCAAGTCAAGACGCCAAATTGACCAACGGCTAGATGGCGACCTCCAAAACGGCGATGTACCAAAACGCCCCCTGTTGATCACACTGGGCTGTGTGTTGATCTGTGGGCTCTGACTAACACAGGCGCCTCTCGCTGATTCAGAGGCCCCGACCAATGTAAATTTCGGGCACTTGCGTGCGTGCGTGCTTGGGTGAATGCGTCCGCGTTTGTAAGTGCTAGCCTAACGACTCCGAAATGTGAATAGGCACCCGCCTGTCAGAACCAAATTACTTGGTAGTACCGAAATTCCGGCATTGTTAAGCTTTTTCGTGAAAAAGTGTTCAAAGCCCTCCAAAGTGGTTTAAGATCGTTTTTGAGGCCGGAACTGGTAGGATGGTTTTTCGACGGTGTGTTAAATAGTTGTGTTTACGAGTCAGAAGACCACCTTCTCCATACGCACACTTCTTCACGGTGGCGGCGCCTGGCGACCGCCGCCGCTCCCCCGCCACCCCGCTGGGTAATCGCCGCGGCGGTAAGGAGGGGACTGGTCACCATTGTGAGATCTGATCCCTTGGCAAAGGCCGCCGGGCCTTGGAGGTGGGCGTGATATCGCTGGCCGTGCCCGATGAATGCTTGTAACTGAGCAGTCCGGCATAGAATATTTTGCAGACTGCCAACAGCCTGCTCAATGTGCATGCACCTAGAGTGCGTGTTGCGGGATACGTCGCGGGATGCATACAACTTATGACAATGGGTGTACTTAACGTCTTGTTTGACTTTGGACCTCAGAAACTGAGTTGGTTTCATCAAGCCAGGTCTTATCAGCATTGCGTACGGCTGGTCGTGTTCTGCAGTTGCTTTGCGGAAGCCGCCGTTCTATTTCGCATAGATCTTTCTACGCTCTTTGTATTCGAAGATGTGCCTTTCCAAGAGCTGGAATTTTGTGTCATATTTTGTATCATTTTTATTGTTTTAGTGTCATGCCCGAATGTATTATGGCTGCAGCATTATCATACCACTATCTTAGTCAACGTCCAAAAAATCGAGTGCGTTATCAGGCGCCTCCAAGCTGCAATGAATGAAACTACTAGCAAAGCTGCCCTCGCCCGCCAGAAATAGCTGCGATCCAACGCGGTCGGCGTCAGTGGTATGCAGACAGGGGGACGCGGCCCCGGTCGCATCGCGGCACACCCCGCGGCACGTCGCGCACAAAAGGCGTCCTCCCTCGTGTGGCGGGCGGGGGCGGACCCGACCCCGACCGGCGAGTCGGACGGCTCCGAGGCGCAGGACCTCACGACACCTTTAGCGTCTGCACTTGAGAAACGAGCTGCTTGCTAGTTCGGACAGCTGGCTTCACAGTGTTGTACACTACGCAGTTGCACTTCCGTTAACATAAAACGTTAGATGCATGGGCATGTGGGCTCTCCTACGCAGATTGCATATCCATTACCTGGGCGAAAGCCGTTTTCACGTTGAGCTGAATCACTGAAAAGTTTTAAAAGTTCAAAGTGTTTCTAGGAGGTTATGATAGACACTAAATACTGACAAAAACGGCTTCCATGCAATTTCACTAGTATGCATAAGCAGGCCTTTTGTATCCAACTAAGATTATTTGCATGTCAAACAAGTCTTTTAATCATGTCAGAGACCCTACTCATACTAGTAGCATTTGTAGTTTAAAAGGTGTTGCACGGCAATTGTCAGTAATTAGTTGCAAATCCCTTGAAGCTTTGTGTGTGTTATGAATGGATTAACTCCACATTAAACTCATTAAGACGTGGTTTGGTAACAGCAATGACGTCTTACGCTGGTGCAAGTCAAGCCCTACAAATAATTCATTGCGCATGCATAATACTCCGGCGTGCAGACAATCATCTGGAAACAATGCCTCTGAACCGAATCTTACCAACAACTTATTTCCCACCCTGATATGTTTGTATAACTATACAAGCTAGCATTTGCTTGAATTGACGTTGAAAGCTCCTGGTTTTACGGTCAGTTAGCATTTTATGCATGCCAAATGGAGCCGGCTGTTTGACTTAGTGCCAAGGCCCAAAAATAGGAATACAGAACCTTAGCAAGAGGGACCTAATAGAAGCCTTCTGACTGCCGTTTCAGGTTATGGCACTACGGATGGGGGCCGGGTCCAAGTCCAATCGTGCCGTTGATCTTGGGTCTCGCGGGGTCCTCCGGTCCTTCTTTGAACCTCATCAAAGTTCGTGACCGACTGGGGACCACTAGCCGAGACATATCCCCTTGTCATGCACTGCGGGCCCCTGACCGACAAGGAGCCCATTCACTGTTTCAGAGACCCAGACCAATGCCAATCGTGGCCCCTGATCTTGCTCCTGTTTGGCAAATGGGCCCCCAAGGTTCAGGATGACAGGGAGCCATCTGTCCGGTGTTCGCGGTCTCTGGCCGAGTTAGACACCCGCGTTGTCTCAGGTGGTCCTTAACGGTACAAAAGGCCCTCTGACCGATATTTCAGGTCATCACCTTACGGACCACGATTCTTTATGTGACCTACAGCCAATCTTGCAGGCCGTTATGCTCTTCAGCCGGGCCTTTGATAGTCTGTTTTGTTGGGCCGTCCGGGTCCCTCTTCGGGCCCTATCTTTGGTCGGGCCCTCCACTTTGGTCCACTTTGGTCCTCAGCGCTCTTCGGGGCCAACGATCAATGGTCCGACTAGGGGTCCCGAAGAATTTGCCAGAGACTGTATCAAGGGATCCTGGCCCGCGAATGTCCATCAGTGCGCCCCTTGCGCCAATTGGTGGCCCTTGCTGGCAGTGAGGGCCAGTCAGTTGATTCGCGACCACTAATTTTGAACAGTCTTTCCCGTGGCGGCCTAAAGCCCACTTCCAAATTGGGAACCATTTTGGGGCCTACGCTTGTCGGTCAGAGGATCTTTTGCATTGGTCGGGATCCCTTAGGCAATGGGGGACCGTTGTACCGGTCAGGGGAGGGGGCGGTCAGTACGCCTTACAGGGGACCCCATGTCGGCAAGGGCCCGAGTCAGCAATGGTTCCGTTTTCTGAGTAGGGACAGGAATGTGACCCCGAATGTCAGAGAATCTCTTAAATTGACCAGCCCGCTGATAATGAAAGGAGATAGGATAAATGGCAATGGTTAACGACGAGACAGTGAAAGAGCACTGTGTCGGAATGGGCCCAAGAATGAACGTAGCTCTGGACCTCCACCCCATTTCGGTCAGGGGCCGAATGAGCTGAACTGGAATCATCTGCCAATTATCGAACCCCTGTGTCGGTAAGCAATCCTTTGGCATCAGTGAGGCCCCCCTACGTCAATCCGGAATCAACTGCTCCGGCATGAGGGCCTCCCGCGTCAGGGAGGGGACCACTGCAACGTGCATCGCTCTGTGACCCTCGTGACCGACTAGGGGACCCCAGCCACTGTGTCTACAGAATAGTAGCCGGCAAGTACCCCGGTTGACGAGTTTGGACGGAAATCCACTTCAATCTCTGACTGGGAAAGGCAATGGGATTGCCCAGTGTTCTACTGACGGGGCTCCATGTCTACGAAAGCTAAGGGACCTCCTCAGTATTGAATCCACTGAGTCCCTCAGCGAACAGTGATGACAAATGACGAAAGCTGGACCCAGCGAAATAGACTGGGCAAGTCTGGTAATTCATCTGCGTGCCTTTTCACCGGGAGCCTGTATCCAGCTGTGTGCCGCCCCCACCCTCTCTTACCAATGCTTTGGCCTTCCCTCTGTTATGAGAGGGACTTCGTGGGATCTCAGACAGGCTCCTCTCGGGATTAAGCGTTTAGATGGACCATTAGATGTCATTTCATGATTGAAGATGAAGAGCGCTGCGAAGTCCAAATCATACTGGTAACGCTTTGTATCAGCGCTATGTTTTCCCTGCAATTTTCGATAGCACCGTCGTCTTAACAAGCCCCATGGTACCTCTACTGTTGCGAATGAAAGCACGTTTGTGATTGGCCCAGCAGGCGGTAATCACCTCTTACCGAGAGGCGCATTGGTTAAAATTTTAGTCATTGCGTCACTACGGGCCATGTGATACTCCCTTCTCTAAAGCCAAAGTGCGTCTTCAAGAGCCATTATGGCAAACGCTATAGGAGCGAAATTAAGGTTATGGTATTACATGTCGTTGAGCCTGCGGGATAATAAATTCGTGTTTGCATATCTTTTTGCCTTAACAGAGGGTTTCAGTTCTTTGTAACAGTCACAACACTTCGATAAATTAGTGTGCTGAAAACATAACAGAACAGACTCGTTCGAAAGCAGGACCAATGCAATGTGCTTCTTTCATAATAGTGCGCGAGAGGTCAAGTAAGACTTCCACCGCAGGTCCGGTTATAGGGGTGGTAAAAGTGTACTTCTTGTCGCCGACCAAATTCTTTGGGAAAAATTATTGCCAGTAGCGTAATGTGATGTCACATGATAAAATAGTCATTAAGTCCATGCCTAGTAGCGTCATCAGTAATCAGCTTATCACCGAAAGTCTCTTTCATCGCTGCAGTTTTCAATATCATGTACATAACCGAAACGTCCAGTCATACACTGCCCTTGAACAAATGTCAGGGTATGTGCTGCTGCTAGGAAAGCAGGTGTACGTGCCCTGGACTGGCAA